TATTAATTTCATTTGGTGACCCCTAGTTCTTGTATTATGGGAATAAGTAAATAACTTTTCCTTATCCACTTACTCCACATCACTCATGATTTTAATACCTCTATCATATCCCCCCTTAGTCTCCTCTTTTCCAAGCTGAAGACTCCTAGCCTCTTTAATCTCTCCTCATATGGGACCCATTCCAAACCCCTAATCATTTTAGTTGCCCTTTTCTGAACCTTTTCTAGTGCCAGTATATCTTTTTTGAGATAAGGAGACCACATCTGTATACAGTATTCGAGATGTGGGCATACCATTGATTTATATAAGGGCAATAATATATTCTCCGTCTTATTCTCTATCCCCTTTTTAATGATTCCTAACATCCTGTTTGCTTTTTTGACCGCCTCTGCACACTGCATGGACATCTTCAGAGAACTATCCACAATGACTCCAAGATCTTTTTCCTGACTTGTTGTAGCTAAATTAGCCCCCATCATATTGTATGTATAGTTGGGGTTATTTTTCCAATGTGCATTACTTTACATTTATCCACATTAAATTTCATTTGCCATTTTGTTGCCCAATCACTTAGTTTTGTGAGATCTTTTTGAAGTTCTGCACAGTCTGCTTTGGTCTTAACTATCTTGAGCAGTTTCGTATCATCTGCAAACTTTGCCACCTCACTGTTTACCCCTTTCTCCAGATCATTTATGAATAAGTTGAATAGGATCGGTCTGAGGACTGACCCTTGGGGAACACCACTAGTTACCCCTCTCCATTCTGAGAATTTACCATTAATTCCTACCTTTGTTCCCTGTCTTTTAACCAGTTCTCAATCCATGAAAGGACCTTCTTTTTATCCCATGACAGTTTAATTTACATAAGAGTCTTTGGTGAGGGACCTTCTCAAAGGCTTTCTGGAAATCTAAGTACACTATGTCCACTGGATTCCCCCTTGTCCACATGTTTGTTGACCCCTTCAAAGAACTCTAATAGATTAGTAAGACACGATTTCCCTTTACTGAAACCATGTTGACTATTGCTCAACAGTTTGTTTTTCTATATATCTGACAATTTTATTCTTAACTATTGTTTCAACTAATTTGCCCGGTACCGACGTTAGACTTACCGGTCTGTAATTGCCAGGATTACCTCTAGAGCCCTTTTTAAACATTGGCATTACATTAGCTAACTTCCAGTCATTGGGTACAGAAGCCGATTTAAAGGACAGGTTACAAACCTTAGTTAATAGTTCCCCAACTTCACATTTGAGTTCTTTCAGAACTCTTGGGTGAATGCCATCTGGTCCCGGTGACTTGTTAATGATAAGTTTATCAATTAATTCCAAAACCACCTCTAGTGACACTTCAATCTGTGACAATTCCTCAGATTTGTCGCCTACAAAAGCCGGCTCAGGTTTGGGAATCTCCCTAACATCCTCAGCCGTGAAGACTGAAGCAAAGAATCCATTTGCTGGACATGTCTGACACCACATTGCACACAATAGCTACTGCAATAGCCAGGAGGAGATCTTTGTGGCTTCAGTCTTCAAGGATCCCCAGGAAGCTCTAGGCAACAAGCAAGAACCTCCCATTTGAGGGTAATGAGCTTTTCAACAACAGCATTGGTGAAGCCCTGTGGTCTCCAAAAGATTCAAGGCCAACTCTGCTCTCTTTAGGATTTTGAGTTCCAACCCAAGAAGGAAGCAGCCACATCAACATCCTATAGACAGCATACCTCAGTTCAGCTTTACAGTCAGCCACATTGTACTTCAAAACTGCCAATGAAGAGACAGATATTCCACTGGAGACAACCCTCGGCCTCCTCTGCTGCCCCACAGTCTTGGGGTACCACCAGGCAGCAGGTGCGATGCAAAGTTGAGAAACTGATAGGATGATCAGAGAACCTTTTTTGTTCTGCACCTCCCCCTTGGCAACTCCCTCTTTTTTGTTTTGGAAAAATTTGAGCTGAGGTTACCTTGGCTTTATGGGTCCCAGAGATGGTAACCAAGGGGCACCCAATTCAGTTTCAATCCCATCCTTCTCCCCACCCTCCTACTGCCTCCTTTCCTGGCTCTTTTCAGGGAACCGTCTCGTGAAAGACCATCAGAATGGGGAGTACGCTCCCTTTTACAGCCGGGAGCAATGCAGGAGGTGGCTTTTTACTCCCATTACTTTTTGATCCCAAAGAAAAAAGGAGGTTGATGGCCCATCTTGGATCTTCACTGAGAGCTGCGGGTGGCCGTGCCTGCGGACGGTCCACGTAAACATTGTCTCACGGCCCGCCAGCGGATTACGCTTACGGGCCGGAGGTTGCCCACCACTGATCTAGATTATGACCTTCAACTTCAGGACTTGTGGTTCCCTCAGGAAGCTTACTCCCATATATATGTGTTAGAGCTCAGAGTCAGCTTGGTATGCAAAGCATTCCTGCCTCTTCTTTAGGAATCCTTAATACAAGTGTTGACAGACAACACCACAGCTGTGGATTATGTCAGCATGCAATGGGGAACAAGAACATTCTCACTCTGTCAGGAAGCCATAGGACTACGGAATAGTTCTGAACCAAGTTACATGTGTGACTGTGCACCATTTCAGCCTTTTGAACACCTTGGCAGATCAACTCAGCAGGCAATTCCCTGGCAACAAGTGTACTCTCAAAGACTCAGTCTTACAGAACATCTTTTGTAAATGGGGATTCCCAAAAGTAGCAACAGACCAGAACAAGTGTTAGACATTCTTCTGTTCCAGAAGGGGTGCAAGCTAAAGCTCCCTGACCAATGCCTTTCTCATCCCTTGGATGCCAGGGTTGAAGTATGCCTTTCTGCCAATCCCTATGATACCCCGGATACTGAGGCAGGATGAAGTGTTGTTATGATAGCCCCAGTATGGGCCAAGCAGTTCTGGTATTTGGATTTCATTAAACTTTCATTGCAGCCACTTATCACCTTACCTGCTCTGCCTGACAATCTTCCAGAATTGTCAGATCTTGTACCTGGATCCAGCATTTTTACACCTGACAGCCTAGATCAGGGGTGGGCAAACTATGGCCCACAGGCCACATTTGGCCCATCAGACCACTTAATCCGGCCCTCAGCTCCTGCCGGAGAGCGGGGTTGGGGGTTTGCACTGCTCCAGCCAGAGAGTGGGGTCGGGTGCTTGCCCCGCTCTGCATGGCTTCCAGGAAGCAGCCAGCATGAACCCTTCCGGCTCCTACGTAGTACACGGAGGTGTGGCCAGGCGGCTCTGTGCGCTGCCCCGTCCGCAGGCGCCGCCCCCGCAGCTCCCATTGGCCGAGGTTCCTGGCCAATGTGAGCTGCAGGGGTGGTGCCTGCGGATGGGGCAGCGCGCAGAGCCACCTAGCGGCACCCATGGAGGGGGGACATGCTTCCGGCAGCTGCTTGCCGTAAGTGTTGCCCAGAGTTTGCACCCATCAGCCCCCCTCGTGCTCCAATCCCCTGCCACAGCCCTGATCCCCTTCCCACCCTCTGAACCCCTCGGTCCCAGCCTGGATCCCCCTTCTGCACCCAGAGCCCTCATCCCTAGTCACCCCCCACACACACCCATACCCCCAATTTTGTGAGCTTTCATGGCCCGCCATACAATTTCCATACCCTGATGTGGCCCTCAGCCCAAGAAGTTTGCGCACCCCGACCTAGATGTTGTGTGGTTTACATCTACTGAAAGAAACTGTTCAGCTGAGATTCAGAACATTCTGCTTCAAAGCAGGGAAACCTTCAACCTTACTTATAAGGCTAAATGGAAGAGGTTTTCTACTTGGGATGCCAGTGGTAGTTGTCTTCTTTGACATCTTTAGTTTTAGCAATAGTGGAGAATTTGCTAGGCCTGAAACCGTCTAGACTTTACATCAGGTCATAAAGGTCCATGTAGCAGCAATGTCTGTACATTATCCCTCACTCCTAGGTAATACTGTGTTTTCCCACTCTACAGTAGCAAGATTCCTAAAGGCCTCACATGTTTTTCCCCCAATGCAGGAGCCCCCCCTCCCTTTTTGGGACCTCAATATAGTATAGCAATATAATATTTATTAGCAGGGTTGATGGGTCCCCACTTTGAACCCTCAGCACCTTGTTCCCCACCAGTCGATGAAGACTGCCTTTCTGGTGGCCATTACATCAGCTCGCAGGGAAGGGGAGGTTCAGGCCCTTCTGACATATTGTCTATATACAGTATTTTGTAAGGACAGGATCATTTTTAGACCTCACTCCAAGTTTCTCCCCAGATTGTCTCAGAGTTCCATACGAGCCAGTCCTTTCATCTCCTGGTTTTCTTTCCAAAGCCTGATTAAGTGGTTCTCCAGGTATTTAAGGGCATATTATGAATTAGCCAGGATAGATTCATCTAGCCAGACTAAAGCTCATTCCACGATATTTGAGGAGCAGTTATGTGGAGCTTAAACCACACATTTACAAGACACTATTGCTTAGTAAGGGCTTCCACATCAGATGTTGGTTTTGTTAAGGTTGTCTTATAGCCATTTAAGTAGGTCTCCTAATACCCACCTCCAGGCAATTTATAACTGATTGTTAGTCTCTAAGAGTGGAATTCATGTGGACAATTACTCAACTTACTCACAATAACTTTTCGTCTAAGTACCCTCCTGGATCAGAATTAAGGAAAAACAAGCTAACCACATTAAAATTATGCCTCAACAGTCATCAGACACTACTTTCTGCGTTCAGTAAGGAAGCTGACACAACGACTGAAGCTAGTTTTGTTATAACATGGAATATTGCTCATGCTAAACATCCATGTTGTGATGGAGAATTTGTTAAGAAAAATATTGCAGAAGTGGTTGCAATTTTAGATCCAAGGAACACAAAACTTCAGTGACTAATGCAGCAAATTCCAATTTCACACCACAGTATGGAGAGGCAGATCTCCCAGATCAGTGACGATGTTGCAAACGACATGCAAAACGATCTAAAGAATTCTCTAGCATTCAGCCTAGCTGTCGCTGAATCCACAGATATTCAAGATAAACCACAACTAGCAATATTTATTTGCTATGTTTCCACAGATTTAATTGTGAAAGAAGAAATATTGGACTTAATGGTGCTACAAGAAACAACCCGTGTTGTTGACATAAAGAATGCACTTGATGAAGCATTGATAAATGCCGATGTACCGCTGGATAAACTTGTCAGTGTTGCAATGGATGATTTTCCCCACCTGCAATGGTGGGGGAAAAAGTAGGTCTTATCGGACACTTGAAAAGCAATCCCAAATTTCCAGAGTTCTTCCCTGTTCATTGCATCATCCATCACGAACATCTCACAGGCAGATACTTCAAGTATGAAAGTGTTACAAAAATAGTCCTAGAAACTGTCAATTTCATCCGTTCAAATGGGAAGACTCATTGACATTCAAAAATGTCATTGAAGAGCTGGATCTTGAAGACAAACCCAACAATGTCTCTTTCTACTGTATTGTGAGGTGGTTATCAATCAGCAATGTCTTAAATAGGTTTGTGGAACTGTTGGAGCCTATCAGTGCTTTCATTGAAGAAAAGGAAAAGTCCTATCCACAACTGAAAGATGAGCAATGGATGCAGGATCTGATGTTTTTCACTGATATTATGCAGCATCTGCAAACTCTCAATTTGGCAATCCAAGGGAAGGAAGATTATTTCTGACCTCAGAGCATCTTCAGCTTCCAGAACAAGTTAAAGTTTCTGAAAAGAGACATAGTGTCAAGAGACTTCAACCACTTTCCCTATTTCAAGAGTAGGGTAAACACATTTCCTGAAATCAAAGTAGAAGATCACAAACTCGAGGAATACAAAGGTAAATTACAAGGACTGCTTGATGACTTTCAGGACAGGTTTGAAGACTTGCTGAGATCCTGCTTCACTTTTCTTGTAAATCCATTCATGGTTGATGTCATGGATGGCGGGTAGTATAGGCTGGGGAAGGCTGTGACTCCCCAAACAGCCCCACGTGGCCCTGCCCACACTCTACCCCGAGGCCCCTCCTGCTTGCCCTTGGCCCCAGCCCAGGCAGGCTGCTCCTCTTCCAGGGAGCCTTCTGGGGCTGGGTCTAGGGTGGCTGGGACTTCGAGTGGCTCCTGGTTGGGGCCGCACACAGCCCACCCACCCACCTGGTGCTTCATGGCTGGGAGGGGTGCACCGCCTGCCCAGTGCTCTGGGGCTGGAGGGGGGCGTGTGCCATCCACCCGCCTGGTGTTGGGTGAGGGGAGGTGCCGTCCGCCTGCTTGGTGCTCCAGGGCAGGGGACGGAGAGCTGCGCCACCGTCCACCCAGTGCTGGGGTGGAGGGGCCGCTTGCCCAGCGCTCCGAGGCTGGAGGCACTCAGGTGAACCATGGGGGGGAGCAGGGGGAGGAGCTGGTAACCACGGAGGAGGGAGGGGGGCTCAATCAGTAACAAGAAGACATCATGAATAATAATTAAGCACTCCTGAGACTTGCTCCAAACACAAACATTATCTGCTCCTTAAAATAGATTGTGTATTTATGTAACAACAGGGTTAATACTGTAAATAAAACAGTGTTGGTGGCAGTACTGGGATAATATAAACTTAAATAGAGGCAAGATGCCTTTAGGTGATGTGCAGCCATGCTGTATTCAGTCTGTTTTTGCAACTTACATCTTGTTTAGATTCCAGTTTATCAAGGTGCTTCTGCTCCCTTACTTGGTGGTCCTGTGGAAGGGGCTTTCTTTCATGGAAGAGATGGTTTGGGTGATGTTCCTGTTCCGAATGCTCCAGGATTAGACCATCTACAGAAAGAACATGCTGTGATTGCAATGTTAAGAATTGTTAATGAGAAGCCTGGTCAGGTGAGAATGTTCTTTATATCATTTTTTTATGTAGTAACAGAGGACAGTAAGCAGGACCAAAGTCTGTTTATGCTAATGCCTTGCAATTATATGGAATTGTTTTGCCTGTCTAATCCTAATGGAGGATCCAGGTTCAGTCTTCAGTGGAAGGTGACCCGCCTACCTTCTCCTGGTAGTCCATGGCATTGTACACTGGGGCTGGAAGAAATTGTTTCTCAGACTGAAATTTGGCATTCAGTTTAACCCTGTACATGAATAACCATAATTAAACATCTAGTCCCAAGTCACTGGTGTCCAAGTAATTGTCCCTTTAGTCAGGTAATTCTCGAGGCAAAGAATTTGAGACACTGATTTACCATCCCCTTTTCTCCCAGAGGAATAAAATCTTTATTTAATATTTAGGAGACTCCATATGTTTGTTTGCTGCTTACCTTGAACATGTCCTTGCTCATGTCTTTGTGATCCTCTTTTAGGTATATATTGGAATAAGATTTCCTACTACCTTCTCTTTCTCAACTTCTACTGTGTAGGCACAAGGTATCAATCTTTCATAATAACTAAGACCCTCTATGCCTTTGTTTAATTTATCAGTTTTTTTATCTTCTTTAGAATTTTTACATCCCTACAGAGCTAAGAGCCACAAACTACCATGGTACTTCATTTTGGGGCCTCAGTGTTTCTATATCATAGTTTTCCTTATGGCAGATTGCATGACTTGGAGGGACTGAAGATAGGACATAGTGTGTTTCATCTTTATCGCAAATTCAGATTATAAGCCTTGTTGAAAGCTCTTACTGTTTGATGGGTGTTTGATCCATATGAAATGGATCAGGCGCTCAGTCCAATTCCCTATGGACAAGTAGACAAATCACAAAAGCCACCCCTGGACTCGATAGTGATTGTCAAGATAGATAACAGTTCCAGCGGAGACCAAGGATTGAATGGACAGGGAGTCTGTGAACAATATCTTACCTCTAAAGGTGGTCAGAGTTGTGGCACATTGGTGGAATGGCATAGTGAAGTGTCTGTCTTCACCGATGGTGTAACTGTTCAATAGCTAAACTGATGACTTGATTTTCCAGGTATCTCATTCTAACAGTCTTCTCAAATTTATAGAAAAATTAAAATATTAATTTTCTTTGTGTGCTCATACCAACTCACTACACCTAGCAGATGAACAGCCTCATTCTGGACTAGCTGCTGCTTCTGAGTCTTTATAGATAGCTCCTGTTGGAGTTTTTATGGCAGTATTCCAATAAAAGCAAGAAAAGACCGTAATGTGTTGAACAACTACAGATGAAAAAAGAAGTACGTGATTTCTCTGGGATTCCCAGACATCTGCAGTGTGCGTTCCAAAAGAACCCCAACATAGCTAATCTTTCTGTTGAGTGGGAGAAGTAATCCACCAATAGATGAAGTCACAGAGTGTTGCTTTAACACAGTGTTTCCCAAACTTGGGACGCCGCTTGGTTAGGGAAAGCCCCTGGCGGGCCGGGCCAGTTTGTTTACCTGCCGCGTCCGCAGGTCCGGCTGATCGCGGCTCCCACTGGCCACATCCTTCGGCCCGCGCCGCTTCCAGCGGCTCCCATTGGCCTGGAGCAGTGAACTGCGGCCAGTGGGAGCCGTGCTCGGTCGGACCTGCAAACGCGGCAGGTAAACAAACCAGCCTGGCCTGCCAGGGGCTTTCCCTAAACAAGCTGCGTCCCAAGTTTGGGAAACACTGCTTTAACAGAACTGTAAACAAATGTTTAAAACAAGCCACTTAGAAAAATGTGATCTGGGGTCTCTGGGTTTGTTTTCATTGGAGTAACATGTAAAGAGATGGAGTAGTGTTTTGTTTATGTTTTGTAGATTTCTCTAGTTGCCACTGGTCCTTTGACTAATCTAGCTTTGGCAGTGAAATTGGATCCAACATTTCCTAAGAAGCTTAAAAATGTGTTCATTATGGGAGGAAATGTAGAATGTAAGTAATTTATAAAATGATCAGTAGGCAAACATTTTAACTAATAACTCCAGTGTGCTTATTCAGAAGCTGTTTGGCCTTTTTTATACAATTGCTAGACTGCATGCATTTGTGTATTAGATTAGGTATGGGAAAGGAGGTTGGTGTAGTTGTTGTTAATGTTGCCATAATGTGTGATTTCCTTGATTTTTAGTAATTGCACTCACAGTTAATACCTTTCAATGACCTTAACTTGAAGTTAAATCTTTGTTGGAATTTTATAATAAATTTATCTTATGATGATAGTTTAATGCTAAAAATATGATTTGTTTTGGACATGTTCTTTTTTGTATTACGATTTTTTGGTAAGCAAAATGGACAAGGTGCAGTAAATATTGTACGTTTTGGTACTGAAAAGTAAAATGATTGAAGAAAATAAGCGAAAATATACTGAACAGTTACTTTTTTGGTTTATGTTTTTGTTAGCCAGAGGAAATGTTACAGTCTGTGGAGAATTCAATTTTGCAACTGATCCAGAAGCTGCGTATGTTGTCTTAAATGAGTTCACTTGCCCTACCTATATTGCAACATGGGAATTTACATGTCGCAATTCATTGTCTTGGGTAAGACACCAAATGTTTAATGTAAATTAATGTTAAAGGTAAATCTGGTGAAACTCAGTGTCCATGGGTGCAGGGGTATGTCCACATGGATCATATTACAGGACTGTGTCCTAAATCAGAGCTCACTGAATTGGAATGTAAAAATAACTGTATCTAAAGCTGTGCACATGCTCTAATGCTGGGCAGTCTTGACTTAATCGCAAAAGGAGGGATGAAGCTATATCCCAATGTTTCTCTTCATTTTTTAATCGCCAACATTATTCTTTTGGTTTGCAGGAATTCTATCATGAGTGGATTAATCAGGACACCAAAAAAGCTGAGTTCACAGAGAAAATATTTGCCCACAGTATAAAATTCATGAAGTCAGAACAAGAAAATACAGGCAACATCTTATGGACTTCAGGATTTGTGTGTTGTGATTCCTATGCTATGGCTGCTGCAATTGACGAGAGCTTTGTCACAGAAGCCATAGAAGCTGCTGTAAGTGTGGAGCTGAATGGCTCACTAACTAGAGGAATGATGGTAATGGATATAACTGATCTTCTTAAGAAGAAAAATAAAGCTTTTGTCATTAATAAGTGTGATTTAGAGAAGTTCAAGGAACTTCTCATTGCTGCTTTAAAATAACATTTGGCTGTGTGATAAATTTCCCAATCTTGTTAATTTTGAACTGTAACTGTAGGTCTAGTTACAGTGGTACAGATAACTTCAGATTCATAGCTACTATCAGACAACATACAATTATTTTTAGTTAATAACTTTCTCTTATGTCAGATTTCCAACAAAGTGCATTCAAGTAAATATGAAAAGGACCCATTTAAATCTACAATAGTGAGAGAATTCAAAGTGCAAGTTAAAATGGCAGCCTAATTGTTAGATAACTCTGAATGCACTTATTACCTGGTAGGCCAGTACCCTAGTTTAGCATGTAAATACTTTACTTACCCAAGTTTCAAAAAATGCATTTACTCAGTAGACAGAAACAGCAATAAAAGAGCATTGAAATCTAGAATATACATATAAATTATGATCTGTCATCAGTTTGTAAAATGGAGAAGATAGACTGTTCTAATTCTCACTGCTTTATTATTATGGAAAAACAAGCCAATTTTTACTTAGATAATCTAGATTGAGGATTTGCAAAGTATTATTTAAAAGCCACTTTAAGATCCAGGAGCTCAACATGTAATGATAAAATTTAAAACACATTTTTGAAAATTTGTAAAAAGGGAAGATGTAGAAGAATTTGAAGGACCATGGTCATGGGAAACAAAACTGTTTAACTTCAGTTTACTACTTTGAATATGGCCCAGAAATGTAGTGAATGAAAGTTTATCATCTGACATCTGTTATGTATCTTATTTAAAGTGGGTTTGTAACCTGAGTCCAGTTTACACAACAAAAAAGCACGCTTGTTTGTAAATTCTGCAGAATGAACAGCCCTGAAGACACAAGTAAATGAAGAACAGGAGTACTTGTGGCACCTTAGAGACTAACAAATTTATTAGAGCATAAGCTTTCGTGGACTACAGCCCACTTCTTCGGATGCATATATGATATATATATATATGGTCCTTCGCTCCGAGCGGGAGTGGGGGACTGTCTGCCGAATTACCGCCGAATACCTGGACGTGCTGCCCCTCTCTGGAGTGGCCGCCCCAAGCACCTGCTTGCCAGGCTGGTGCCTGAAGCCGGCCCTGGCCATGTGTTAAATTAATTTGTCATGAGTCTTTGATTGCTTTGCCTGCCCTTTGCCCATTGATCCATCTCCTTGGACCTTATCCTAATATTTCAAACCTCTGAGCAGCTTCAAACATCTACCATTTAAGAACAAAACATAATTACACCTTCCCAAGAGGCTTTTTACGGTTGAGCATCTGGCCCTTTGTAGTGAAAACTTTATAGGGTTAGGAATACAATGAATGTTTACACTAAAAGAAAACTCTAAAACTCTGTTTAAGATACCATATCCTGTAAAATGGATTTTCTTTGTCCATACAGAATGATGTGGTAGAAAGGTTTTATCTGCATTTGCTTGGGATTGCCTACATAATTTTACCGCTGTGAAAAATGTGTGATCATCCGAACTGGTCATCCCAAACTCTCACCCAGAGAACCTTCATACCACTCCATCTTGTATTATATAAAAAATATTTAGAAGATGAACAAGAATGATAAAAGAACGAAGAGTACTTGTGGCACCTTAGAGATTAACAAATTTATTTGAGCATAAGCTTTTGTGGGCTAAAGCCCACTTCATCAGATGCATTCAGTGGAAAATACAGTAGGAAGATATATATATATATATATAATGTACACACACACACACACACACACAGAGAACATGAAAAAAATGGGTGTTACCCTACCAACTCGAATGAGACTAATCAATTAAGGTGGGCTATTATCAGCAGGAGAAAAAAAACTTTTGTAGTGATAATCAGGATGGCCCATTTCAAACAGTTGACAAGAAGGTGTGAGTAACAGTAGGGAAAATTAATAGGGGGAACTAGTTTTTAGTTTGTGTAATGACTCATCCACTCCCTGTCTTTATTCAAGCCTAATTTAATGGTGTCCAGTTTGCAAATTAATTCTAGTTCTGCAGTCTCTCATTGGAGTCTGTTTTTGAAGTTTTTTTGTTAAATAATTGCGACTTTTAGATCTGTAATTGAGTGACCAGGG